AGCCGCAGATTCCGGAATGGAGACTGCTCCATTCGTCGGTTCTCTCCGGTGTCGCGAGCTCTAGCTAGGCCTGGCCCGCTCGAACAAGCGCATCAGCAATTAGTCCAAGAGGATATCCTTCTCTACCTTTCTCAGCCACATTTTATAATAAGTTAATCTTGTTCGTTTCCCTGTCTCCGACGTTGTTCGCATACCAGTAGGCGTTCCGATCTTCCAACGCCGGGGACCAACGAGTGGATGGAATTTCTTTAAAGATGTTTTCCTATCCGTCGGTATTCGAGTGGAGATAAATTTTAGACAATGCCCGGCCGGAGGGAACAATAACGGCGATACAATAACCATCGTGTATCGTTCCTACGGTTTTTTAAGTATCCTATTCACGGTGTACGGCTCGTTGTCTCTCACGAACAGGCGAACGCGTGTACGTTTCGTGGATCGAGTACCCGTTCGTTCGGGATCATCTTTCATCCGGAATATCGAGAAAATTATAGCGATTTCACCGGTGCTCTGCGAGGCCGAGATAAAAAGTTGCGGCGTGCCGTGCCGTGTGACGAGTTACGAGTCTCCTGAATACAGTAATGCTTCGAAATAAGCAAGTGGCTCGGGACCGAACAGTTGCTTATTTCGAAGCAGGTAGCTATTCGGCTTGACTTTGTTCTCGAAACGGGACGATAGAGAACGCGAGAAACGACTGAGAGATCCGAGGTAGCGGCAAATCATAAAGTGATCGGCCGAGCAGCGATGTTATTTTTTGGACAAGGATAGAATATAACATGCCCTCTCATTCTCGCACTATGCTTTATTTCGAAGCAAATATGCCAGACTGAGAAAGCATTATATATATTCCATCCTTCTTCTACTAACCGATGTCACTGCTCAGTCAAGCGTGAAATTTATTACCCTAAACATCGGCTTCGCGCTTTCATGGACCTCTCACTCGTTTCTCGTACCTCTCACTTTGCGGGCGACTTCAAACAAAAAAGAGGGGATAGCGACTTGCTTATTTCGAAGCAGAGACCACTTGCTTATTTCGAAGCATTACTGTAGTCACGTTTCGAGAATCAATCAACGTACTGTCGAGAGATGGAAAGAACATTGGGAAAAGGAATGCGGGTACGATTGCTCGGAGTCGGTACGTCACGCCTCACGCGCATGCGTTCTAGATTATCGCGCGCTATTGGCCGATGCGATCACACACTAATCGCGTCGCCTTCGCGAGACTTCGCGACAAAGCGAAATGGTACGAAGTCAGCGTTGCGGCGAACTTTGAACGCGAGGATCAAACGTAGCGACAGGGCGAAGCGCTCCCTTTGCCCCTGTGCCTCTCGACATGTATGTCGACTGTACATGTACGGTATTAGCGAAGAGTTAATATCGCGCTAATATTTTTTTATTATCCAGAAAAGTAGTAACAACGCAAAATTCACGAATTTCCGGGAAATCATTTCATCGATGAGAAATGCGCGCGCGTGACGACGACGCGACGAAGCGCCGTGATTACAGAAATTTACGCGGCGCGATAGCGATTTCAAAAAAACCACACAAATCCCCGACGATCGTTCATATTTTACCAGCTCCCGTCCAGCCGGCAGTTTCATTTTTTATCCGGCTCGGATTAATGTTTAATTTTAATTCGTCGCTGGTTGTGCCAGCCCCTCTTGCTCTCTTGTTGTCTGTTGCCTTTCCACGCGCGTCCGCCAGTTGGTAGAGGAAACAGACGGACAAAGGAAGTAGGGGGAAAAAGGAAAAATGTATCCGGAAAAGAAGGAACTTTGATCGCGAGGCATTAATAACGCGTCGGTAAGGCGAATCGCAGTCAGACCTAAAAGGTCGGAAACTGAGTGGCCATTCGAGCACGCTTAAAGAAGAATCACGAAGAAGCGGTTTGCCTCGGTTGCGTGTACAGAGAGGGGGGATGCAGAAGGATGTTGGCGCAAAGCATTACCGCAGATGGTCGATGGACGGTTGTGTCTCGGAACTGGCAACGGAGAAACAGAAGAGTACAGGCTTCAGAGGCTCTCCCGATGACGTGGAGGGTTGACTAAGGTTAGGCCACTCAACGTGTATCGCGTACAAGCGGCGAGGAAGGGGTTGATGGTGTACGCACAAACATTCACATGCTTGTCTGAGAGTGTAGAACGGACGTTCGTCTGCACGAGCACGACCCTTTTCCACTGTTACAACCGCATCGCCGAGTACAGCCGCATCAGAAGAGGGTAGTTCTCGAGTAGCTGGCAGGGATGGTGAGCGTAGACGGGACGAGGGGAGGCTATCGCCTCTACCGGGTTCATTCTGTCCTTCAGCCGACGGCGTCTATTGTTTAGTTATTCTGATGAGCCAGTGCATTTCAAACACACTCGAGCGGGCCATTATATCGGAGAACGCATCGCTTCCTTTCGCGAGCCGGCCACGTGCACGCGCCTCCTCCTCGTCTTCTGTCGTTCGTTGATGCCTCTCCGTGTTTCCACCGATAGACAGCTACTACTTCGCTCCCGGACATTTTGATACCCTTAATTGGACACAACCGCGGAGATAAGCGTGCGTGCCAGGATTCTAGGGTTTGCTGGCTCACCCTCTATCATCCGCTTAACTGAAGGAACATCGTTGATTCTTTGTCGTAAACGATTTCAGGAAATGGTAAAAGGGAAAGAGGGTTGGTATACAAAGGTAAAAAGAAACTCGATGGTCTTCTCTGTTTTATTCAATTTATTTTCTGGTCATTTTACATTAAAAGTACTTATGTCATACTTTTATGCCATGAAATTGTGTTAGACTAAACTTAATAACATCAGTTATGATTTATTGTTAGTAATATCATCGATGCATATGCGAAGGTCCATAACTTTTTTTTCAATCCTTTCTACCATATCGCTCTATGGTGGAATAGAAATTCTCCGCTCTCTTTTTATTCCAGCAAAAAGCTGAAACGATGAATAGGTACAGAGGAGACGCTTTTTATTCGATCGAAAGCCTGTTTTCACTTGTTAGTGCGCGATTATCCGCTATTATTCGAAATTAAATATACCACTTCGGCGTATAGAGCTCTTCCGATCTCTTTTCCTTTTTTTTCTTCTCCTCTCCACTGGGAAAATGGAATTATCACGATACTCGATTTTCTCGATGTTAATCCGGCTTATGAGCCGGACGTAGGACGAGAAAAGGGGTGGCTCGGCTAGAGGATATAAAAACAAAAGCGTACCGAGAGAATATGGAAATTTCTCGTAAACTTTAATTTCCATCCACCTTTTTTACCACGGAATCTCTAGTCGCTTTCACTGTGTATCTAATTTATGTATTCACGCTTATGAGGAATGGTTTCTTCTTCTCTTGCTTCTTTTTTTCTTGATACAACAACGGAAATGAAAGGAGGCCAGGTTTGATTTCGCGTTTGCCATTATTTCGATACCTTCAGGCATTTCATGGCGCAGTTGCGAATCGCAGTGGTTCAGCTGGTGCTCGTTTTCATCGAACCTCGAATTGAGGGAAAGGCGGAGGGTGGAGGGTAGTCGACGTGCGTTTGACGTTATAGGAAATTAAGTTACCTTTATAATATGAAATGGACTTCTTGAAAGGGGAAATATAAAATTACGTTTATAGCCGGGCGCGCTTTGCTCCTTTCCTTTGGAGAAAGATTGTTGCGGGAGTATGGCGGATGTGGGTTGTAAGGTATTACGGAAAAATTCCGGGGGAAAAAGAACCTTCGGAGGTTCGAGAAATCACGGAAAAGAATACGGCCGGAGGGTGAGCCTTTCCTGAAATAATACAGTTCTCGTGGAAAACTAGAATTTCTTTTTCGGTTGAGAAGCAGCACGCGTAGGGTGAACAACGATCACTTTTGGGATGGCAGCGGAGGTCACGGTTCCAAGTATTCGCTTGGAAATAATCCGAGCGGAAAGAAGAGAATTCACAATGTTGCTGGCAGAGAATTCTTCGTTTTCCCTGTAGCCAGCTCGTGTCAGTCTCGTCCGCGAGGATTGCCGGAGACACGAGCTTCGTCTGAAGTTTTCTCGTCAAGAGGGGAAGTTAATTAACGCTGACTTTATGCTTACGGAAACGTAAAACGTGAAAATATTGCCTTCCAGGATTAAAAAGCTTTGTACCGGTGTCGTGTTTAATTCTGTTGTCGATACCAGCTATACTTTTGCTCTTTCTCACCTGAAACTATATGTATGTCCCTAAAAAAAAAATTAATTAATTCCATTAGAATTCCATTAGAACTTCCATGTTCGTAAAAGTTTCATTCGCGTTAATGTACGAATCTATCGAAGCAATATCCTAATATCTTGGTTAATTAACGAGGTGACCGATCCGACGACGAGACTGTCCTTTTTACCGCGAACCCCGTGAACCGCGTTCGTTCATCAGACGTTATTAACTAAAACGCGAGGGCGCACAGGAAGATGGCATATTCGTTGCACGTTTCTCCGGCTATTCAGCGTACTTCGTTGGGCTGGCTTCCAGATGGGCAATGTTGGACAGAATGCGGAATACATCCAGCCGGACCAGCATTCCTACTTAAATCAACATAACTCGGGTGATGAATGGTTAACAGGCTTCGCGGGGGGACGCAATGCGCTCCATTTATGGAAGCTATTATGGCCGAATTTCAGCGTTAAATGTGTGATTTATGGCCACCCGTATTATCTTCGTTCGTGTCCCGTCGACGATACAGTCCACCCTCTACTCGGCTCCTGCCATGCCGTCCAACTACCACCGCCTCGACGCCCCGTCCACGCTTCTATTCCTGAAAATTACTTTGAACTCGGCAAGCCGAGCGAAAAAAATTCATCAACCGGTGTCCGCGCGTCCTGGCAATGATTAATGCCGTTCTAACTGTCGATTGAAACTGTAAGGAAAATTTATTTAAACCCATTAAAATTGACTTAGAGGACAGGTATTTCTTTCTAACAAATTTTTTATGTCCCCGTTCCGGATTCGCGTTCTCTGCACGTAAAGAATGTCGTGGCTCGTACTGACCATGAATGTGTCGTTTGTTTCAGGTTGCGACGCCTCGTACGAGATGCAGGGTCCGAGTTTCGTGTCGGAGCCACCATCGCGGGTGGAATTCACGAATGTGAACGGCGGCAGAGTGGACTGCATAGTTAGAGGAAATCCGGCGCCGACCGTCGACTGGCTGGCAGCGGACGGCGGCAGTATAACGAGTATCCCCGGCATCAGGCACGTCCTTGGCAACGGGACGATCTACTTTCCTGGCTTCGAGGCCGAGGTCTTCCGGCAGGATGTCCACTGGGCCATTTATAAGTGTTCCGCCGTCAACAGCGTCGGTGCCATCGTTAGCAGAGACGTCACTGTCAGAGCAGGCACGTGAAACTTCTTGCTCGTTATCTACATTATGTTCCTCCACTTTGTACGCTATATTCCCCCTTTTGCTCCTACCCTCTAGCCCCATCGCCGTACCATCTCGTGAATCCTTTATTCGTATCGACTATCCGTTTCGATGTAGAGGAAACGTTGCTTTCCCGCGGAATAATGCTTCGGTTTTGATTGATTGTACCCGTCCATCGATATGGAAATATTTGTCATTTCCTTCGATGGAGAATGCTTACGTTGGAGAAAGAACGTTGACGTGAAGAAAGAATTTCTTACTCGTCCGGGTGGTGGATCTTGGGTTCGCGTTACATTAAACATCGTTGGTGGTGATAGTGAATTTACGTGGCCGCGAATTTCTTTCCGGACGGAATAATTCATCTTTCAGATAGTACATCTTCGACGATACGATGAAATATTTATTCGAATCGTATCCGTGATTTGCTTTGGGTTTTCGTTGCCTGCCGATGCAACCGGGCGCCCTTCTCATTGTATTTGCCGAGAATACGATTCATGTTATCGTAGTGGTTTGTTCATTGAATTCATCGACAGTTTTTCGGGGTCTCGAATTCTGTCCTCTTTCTCGAGTAATTGTAGCCGGAGAGTGAATCGCTGAAATTATTCGAATTCCGCTCGGCGAACCGTGGCGGTAGAAGAAGAAACTTCATTTCCGATCCCGTGGCTCCCGGGAGGATAAGAATATTCAGTGTAGCGTTGTTTTCCCTTTACGTTTTATCGGATACCGCTGAAAAAGTAGAACTCTACAAGATTCGCGGGGATGTAAGAGGGGGCGGGAGGGTGAGTTTGATAGATAGGGAGGTAGCGAGGATGGATGAAGCGAAAGCTCTCGGTGGTTTCGCGAGGCGTCTTAAAAATAGAGCTTCCTTCGGTTCAACGAACCGGAAGATATCTTATCGACCTAATATGGCCGTAAATCATCGTCGCGTGAACGTAGCCCATACCTTTTCAGATTCATGCCCGCTACCTCTGCCGCGTCAGCTTCTGGCCTCTGCTCCTAGTGTCTCCCGATCCTCCGTCCTTTTTTTCTTTCCTCCTTCCTTTCCTTTCTCTTTTCTCTTTCCCTTCGGTCCAAGCAACTTCGCTGACTACGCCCGTTGCTCGGCGAGAAAAGTCTCTCCTCGAACGGATACGCGTATATTCTCTCGGTGGAAAACGGATATGATTAGAGCCCCGCTTCCCGTAGGCTTACGTATGCATTCGACGAATGGAACCGCCTGGTTGCTGACTTGGCTGGAAACGCGAATCGAATAACAACAATGGGGAAGTAGCGTTTCCGCTTTCCAGGATCCTTCGCCTAACTGCGCCGGCAATCTCGATTGCTGATCGAAAACACGTACGCTTCGGACGTGTCGCGTCCTCTCTCTCTCTCTCTCTCTCGAGGAAATTTCATGCGAACGGACGAGCTCGTTCGACCGTAGTTTCCGGTATCGACGAGAGACACGAGTCGCGACGAATCTCGTAGGAAATAAGGGCGAGGGCGGCTAAGGTTGATAAAAGGGGAACGCGGATGGGAGGCAGTGATTGCCCTTTCCCGGTGCTTCCAGTCAATCGAGGGTGAGATCGCGAGGGGTTGATCTGTTTAATTTGAATGAGTTTGGTTTATAAAAGAGCCATTGGATAGTAGGTTGGGGCTCTAAATGGGGGAGATGATTTTTGTTGATTCTCAAACATCTTAATCTTCTGTAGTTCGTGAGCAACTGTACTTAAGGAAGGATATTGCTGGTAGTAAGTGGTTCCAGGCGAAATTAGTCAGACAATTGTTTTTCTTCAGTTTTCTTTCCATTCACCATCACTTTATCTTGTGCGATGGTTTTTCATCCGTTAACTCGTTGATATTTCCAAATTGAAATGAATCTCTTTTCCCAACCTCTTCCTCTTGTCCATTACGAAATAACATCACTTACGTCTCATGGTCCTTTGTCCTGTGTGAGGATCGAGCTTCTTTGTCGTATTTTTAGTCCCATTCTCGTTTAATGAAGTATTTAAGGCACGCTGGCCGGTCGGCGACCAAAGAAGTTAATTAAGGTCCTCGGCGGGGGGACTACTTCCAGGCAAGGAAAGCTGACCTATCTTCGGTAATAAAGTAAAAATTACTTTTCTACGGCCTTTATACCATCCTCGAGCCGACATTGTTAATCTTGCAAGACGACGAACGAGCAAACGTAAAGAACAATGATGTCGTTGCGTTGAGGACGGGACTTAAGAGGGCTGCGAAGAAACAGGAGGGCAGAAAAACAATGTAGACGGATGGGAATATCGGTGACAGTAAAAAGTAGACTTCGAACGAGCGGTCGAATAGGTTGTTGACGAGAGTTTGCCTAATGCCGGCTTTCCATGAAACTCGTCGCAGGAATGTCGTTCCGGAACAAACGAACGAAAGCTTAACGACGTTTGTACAAAAACACAACGGGTACCCCTTATTGTCTGCTCTCGCGACTACCGCGTACAATGTTTTGCAGTTTCGCCTCGAGACGCATTCTGGCCCCGATTTCCTTAAGACATTTGTTTCCTTCCATTTACTCGGCACAATGCATTCCGCGGTTATTCTCCTTGTAAATTTCGTTGTTTCAGTTTAATTCCACGGTGGCCGACGCGGTGTCGAGTTAACGAGAAATTTTAACGATCGTCGCGAACATTTTAAGAACAATACAGTTTACCTCCGACCGTTTGCTCATCATTGAACGTTTTTTTCGAGCGAGAAATATTCATTTTGCTAGTTTTCATTTTCTATTGGAAAATAGGAGAATTGAGAGTATTTATTTTCCGTGTATTGTTACTTAACAAAAGAGACAGACACGTTTCAATTATTGAAATCGCTCAATTTTCTGTTGACTCGACGACAACTCGGTACTGATTGGCAATTGAAATGATTATTCCTGGGGACGCGAACGATCGTGGTTGAAATCGAAACGTTTGAATATACATGTGGCTGCCGGTGAATTTATAAAACGTAGAGGATGAGAAAGGATGCGAACGCGTTTTATATTTTCGCAAATACTTTCTTCGTTGGATGAAAAGCATCCACGGAATTTCCGTCTCGATGTTCAACCCCTAGATCGTATAAGATCCTCCGGCCATATTTGACATGCTCGAAACAAGACGCTCCGGGTAATCTTATTATCATAACCGTGCAACGTGTTTCCATGCGTCACATATTTTTCTACTTACGCGGAGAAACGTATTCGTTTCTCTGCAGTGTACAGAAGCATTCTAGGAAATGATCAGAGTTATAAGTCTTTCGACGAATAAAATTGCAATAAAAAAAAGAAAGGCATGGAAGAAAATTTGATCGTTCGTTAAAAATTTTACTCGTCGGAGGGATCATAAATTTATTCATTTTTTTTACCATTCCTCTTTCGATTTTAAAGTTCGATGACGTACGATTCTCTTTTCGTTTATGTCGCAACGAAAGCGCGCAAAAAGACAATTATTTTCAATATAAAACAGGTCCGTGTTTCCGTTGCGAACTGCTGTGCAGAGGCTGAATTTTCTTCGAGGACCATTGTCCCCTGTTACACGTGTGAACCACTCCTATTTTTTCTTTTTTCACCCTTTGACGACGCTGAAGCACGTTCTTCGTAGTTTTATTCGACGTGTACGGAATCGTGGAAATTTTATACGGAAATAATTATCCAACGGGGCTGGCCGAGTCGGATCGCAAATTTCATTTTACAATGTTCCGCTTTCGGAAGCCCGTTAAAACGAGCGCTAAACTTTGTTACAGAATTTCCAACCCTCGTTTGACTTTTCGTTTCTACCCTGCACGCTCGAACACGATTCTTTTCGTTCTTTTAATCTCGAAAGCACTTGCATACCTACTGGATTATGTATCCGAGCGAATTAAGTCCCTCTTTCACACACATTTTCATCTTTCTGTCGGATCGTTCAGCTTTACACATGCGACAACTGATTTCCGGATAAAAGTATTATCTTCAAGTACTCGTGTACCCTGAATATTTTCCTTATTTTAATACAAGGCTTGAATCGATTCATTTTTTCGACTCGTCGTTGCGTCGAGAGTAGCGAAGGTATAATTGCAAGGTTGCATCGTGGCTGAAAAAAGGCTCTCGGTTCGTCTCCGTGTAAAATTCGAGCGCCGAAAAAAGGAGGGAGGAATTCGAGCACCGCGAGCTATCTCTGTCTTTTCTGGCAGGTGGCTGAGGTAGGGTTGGAAGGATGGGTTAGGCTAGGACGGACTTCGTTTCCTCCTCTTCTCCCGTAGGTTTCATGGTTTGTAAATATTACCTGCCGCGATACGTCTGCCGAGTTTATGCTCGGCTTGGTTGCCGCGTAACCGAGAGCCGTGCGATACGGGGCTGCTAGCAAGCCTGTGGAAACGGCTGGGGGCAGAGAAAGATTGGGGCGGGGGGTGGAAGCAGAGGGAGAACTCACCGAGTTTTTACCCCATTCTGGAGTCTGAGTGCCTCGCTCCGCTGACTCTCGAAACGGGTTGCAGAGCCGGGTCCTACTACACACCACCGCATTTTCCTTTACCCCCAACCCACCGCCACCCCTTTCGACTATCCGCACGATCCAGGCGTCTCTTTTTTTCCTACCACGATTTCTCGTTCTCCGCCCTCTTTCAGGCCTTGCTTTCTCGCCAACCTTTCAGCCAGAGACCATCAACTTACGCAGAACGCTGGTTCATGGCCGGATTGGGACAGCTTCGAGATTTTCGATAAGATACCGCGACCCTTTTAAGGCTCTCAAACCCTCTCGTACACTTTTTCGTGGGCCGCGTCGATTAACGAGATCCGGTACCCCCCATGCGGGCGTGGCGGAAAAAATCGTCGCTCCTCTATCAAGAACACTAGAGTTCACCGTCATAGGGGTAGTTTTGCGGATCGATGATACTTGCTCGTTATTTCCAGGATGAGTGTATTGTGTCTTGAGTTCAGGTACTGGAAATTTTGGGCAGTAGAAATTTTGTATAATTTCTGTCAGTTTCAAGGGTCCACTGATATTTCATAACTTTCAAGACTTAGTATTTCAATAAAATCTGAAGCGATTCGATGCTCGAGTATGCTTGAAGCACTTGAAAATTTTCGAGATGGGACTTTCGGCTATGAAATTTTTCGATTCCTTTTCCGTCGATTAATTTCAATAGAGGAAACGAGAATCCCAAGATCGCGGGGGTAGTTTTCTGGGCGGATCGATGTTGCTTGGTCGCTACATACGAAATGGAACCAGGAAACGAGCGCGTTGTGTTTCGTTTTTTAAAAATGTTTCACGAGAAACAGCGGGATAGAAAGCTCTTTCGCGGGATCTCTTTTTGTCTGGCGGCTGTTGTGCGTGTACACGAAGAGCAGCGGTCGCGTTTGTGTTGGGTAATTATCGTGGGCCCGGCGAACCGTTCTTTCTCCGCGGATACATTATTCTTACTTTCCATCTGTTCGCCTTCAATTTTCATTAGAATTTCCTTTTTTTTGTTTTTTTTTTCTTACCGCGGACCTTTAGTGCGACCTCAGCTCCACCTTCTATCGAGACTTTTTTAATTAAGGGCTCGACTTCGCTTCATTTCGAGCCGGTCCGCTCTTTTTTATCTGGCTTTCATCCTGTACCGCATAAAGTTGATTCCGTGACGACGGTATCAACATCTTGTAGTAGTTATAGTCGTGCACAAAGCCGGCTGGATTTAATCCCGAGGTATCGCGTCGCGCCCTCCATTTTACTTTACACCCTTGCCTCGCCACTTAACGACCTTTTTTTTTTTCTCGCCTTCGCCACCGTGTCCTCTAGCGCGGAGACAATTAAGTCTAGCAGGCTGCCTTCAGGAACGGATTCGAGGAACGTGAGAGCCTTCAGTCGATATACGAAATAAGAGAACATTTTTTTGGAAAACAGGGAAACTATTATATTTCGTCTTTCTACGTTATGTCAGTCAACGTGTTAACAATTTGTTTCGTTTCAAGAGAAATTGAAGACGCTTTCTCTGAGAAACTTTCCTATACGAGGTCAACATTCTTAGAAGTATGAGTTTCGTATCCCGGTATATCTCTGGCAAGAGAACCAGGTCCGTATCGATTCGTCGAAATAATTTAGTCCTCGTCGCTAAAACCGCGCTAAGTGAGCTAGCTGCGCGAACGAATGAGACTTGTGGCACGTTCTGCGTTCCTATTAACCCTTTCAGGTCCATTTATTCGATAGATTAAATCCGACCTGCCGAGTCGTCGAATATTTCGCCGAGTGTTTCACAGAAGGAAAGGTTAAGATTAGATGGTTTCTTACAAAGTCAAAGCTTGAAAAGCTCGGTAAATTGTAGAAAGTATTGAAAGCTAAATAAAACGATTTTATTTTCGAATTTCTGCATCGCCGTTGAAACTTTCATATTTCACAGAATTCGAACGCGAAGAGTTAAAAGCGATTCGTTATTTACGATTCATTCTGAAAATAGTTTCTATCGTGCAACCGGATGATTGACAGACAAATTTCTCCTCGAGTGTACAATATTCGATCGCGCACGGAATAATGAAAATACGCGTAAGTTGTGCAAATTTTTCACGTTTTCCTGGTAGACCGAAGGTTTTCCGAGTCGTTAAATCCGTGCCTGGTGGCCCTACTGCTTTAGCCTCGCTTTCGAGCGGTCCGTTGTTTGTGTGTTTTAGTGGTGAACCAGCGTTACGATCCGGAAGTGCAATGTCCCGGCGGTTTCCTCGGCAACAACGTACTTATGCGATGCAACGTACCCAGTTTCGTTCGTGACCACGTCACGATCACGTCTTGGCTTCAGGAACCGTCCTTCAATATCTACCCGTCTACGATGGGAGGTAAGTACCGTTGCGTAACTCTATACACGTCGTTTAACCTTTTGTAGTACAAATTCGTATTAGAAATTCCCAATAATCCGATCCAAATTAACGTTTAACCTCTTAAGGGGGGAAATCCAATTAGAACTTTCAAAAAATGCAAATTTTTTTTTGCATAAATTGTTAGTTCAACATGTCAAGAATATAATCCCAAAATATAGCTCGAAGCTATAGCCTCCGAGCGTGACACGCGTCTTGAGCATCGCTGAGGCCAAGCAAAACTTTGAACGCGTTTTTCTCGAAACATGATTTTTTAAATTGGCGGGAAATGTAACTCAAAAACTATTCAACCGATCTAAGTTAAGAGGTTCATTCCTTTGCTTAGAGCATTATAGATTCATTGATGAACTATCTAATTAAAAAAACTTGAGAATACCTCAAATTATTCCATTATTAATCTTAACAAAAATTGCAAAAGTCATATGTAGATTCCTACGAAATGTCAAAAAGTTAAGTTAGAATCCGTGATACGAGCTTGACTCGTCATTAGTAGGCAAGGGATTAATAACGAGCTCTCGGTCGTTTGGTAAATAAAAACAAACGGAGAAAATCCGAGGCAATTTTCTCGCCTCAGAAGGCGTATTTCTTTTTGCGATACGAAGCGTTATTCTCGTCGTTGCGAATTCATTCAGCTACGCCGGCTAAAGATCTCGCGAGAATGAACTGGAGAATTGCGCTCCATCCGTGAGAATTTTCCACGGTAAATATCGGGACCGGGTTTTCAGAAGATCGTGCCTCGTGGAAATAATTGAATGGATCTGAACGAGGTCAAGTTACGTCTTGTGCACGAAGTATGGTGTCTCTTTCTCGGTTTCCACGACGTGCCCCTATTTCGCCGGATAGAGTTCTGCCATTTACGAACGGTGATCGTCGAAGGGGGGAGTCGTTCGGAGAAGCCTCGTGATCGAAGCGTTTTAGATTTCGATTGCACTCGACACGCGAGCTCCTGGGGATTGTTTTTCGGTAAATCCCGAGCGACGGGTTAGGTTTAAGTTACGTTAGGTATATCGAAAATTCACTTACTCTAAACAGAAATAAAAATAAATTCAACTTAACTGAATTCTGAATCGATCGTTCCAACGTATCTTTAGTTTTCTAGATTTAGATTGTTTATTCGTTCCACTTAAAAATCATCTCCACTCTTCGAAACTCTTATTAAAATCTGAACCTAACGAACCCTATCACGGTTATCAGATAACTTTCTGAAAACGCTTACCCTTCCAAGATCTTCAAAGTTTACAACATAGTTCCTTTACGAAACTGAACCTAACTAGCGGGTGTTTGGGTCAGAAAAAGGGTTATCCTTTAAAGTTTCAACTTTCAAACGCATCGTAGACTGTCGATCGTCGATGCATTGTGCGGAAAGTTTTCGCTCGTGAGCGCCGTAAACCCGTTAACGAGGAAAACTTCATTAATTATGGAGGAGTTCGATTAAGGTGTGCCCGGCGAAGCCAGTTCTGAATGTGCCCTCTAATAATCCAGACGGATTTGTTAATACGTTCATCAATTGCCGCAAGACGATCGATAGCCGGCCAGACATTCATCGTTGAAGGTTCAAAGTTGAATGAACTCGAACCAACGAAAACAAAAAAAAAAGGAAAAAATGGCTGAAATAGTCGTAAACGAAATCGACCACGCGATCGAACGTTTACACGTTCCGTTCCGTTCCGTGCGATTGAAATGCGATCTCTGTTCGCAGATGGCAAGTATCATATGCTTTCGAGCGGCGAGCTGATGATACTGAACATCACGAGGGAGGACGCGCAACAAACTTATCGGTGCAGGACGCATCATCGTCTGACGCAGGAAACGGTCGTCAGCAGCAACGTTGGCAGGCTTCAATTGACTGGTAAGTGCATTAAAATCCGCTTTACGTTGCCATGGATAAGATAACGTGTTTCCAGCACGATTCGCGTTACTCTGGCGTGATCGAAAATTCATAACGCGACTAGGCTGCGTTTATTCCACTCGACGAGATAATTAACACACTTTGCTGCTACTACGTTACGTAATCCTCTCGCAGATTTCACCTTGTTTCGCTGTTGTTGGGATTATTGGACTCGGGGATTTTAAGCTACTTAGATTTTCTAATTGATGTAACGTAAAGTCTCTTCCATCGATCGATTATTAAAATTCATGCATTCCTCGTTAAGTCATTGAATCTTAGTCTACCAGTTCCGCGAGATTAAACGCTTCAAAGAAGTAGCGTTCTCACTACATAGATCTACTTTCCCTAAAAGCTTCTGTCCGTTCAAACTCGAGCACGCTTCCATTAACTCGGTTAATGAAGTTTTAATATTAGACACAGGAGATTTCAGCATAAGACGACAGAGAGTCTTAACGAGAGTAAAAAAAAATAAACACCATCGTTAGAGCAAAAATGTTACCTACTGCATAATTATCCCCTCCTTTGAAATTTGACGCGATATTAGGAAATTTTTCCCAGAGATAGGTGGATGTTTACGAGATTATCTCGGTTTCCTCGACGTCGCTTCGGATCGGTTCGCGTCGAGTACGAAAATTGCGAACGAGTTAACGAGCCATCGGATGATCGGCGTTCGATCAAAGTAAAAATATTCTCTCAGCCAGGTGTAATTACCAGGCACCGGTGACGAGACCCGCGATCAAGAGGTCGTCTGAAAAGCTTTTTCTCGGCTCGTTTTAAACCAACTGGCATCGCGCTTGTTACCTTGCCGAGGCTTCGCCGCGTAACGTCTGCTCTGGGGTTAGCTGCGCGTGGTACGAAGCGAAACAGGAAGAAAGGGGAAAAAAAAAAATACACACGGGTGAAAAGACGAAGAAGACGTGGAAGAAGAAGCGGAAAAAGGGGAGAAATCTCCACTCGAGCCGGGCTAACTAATGATGCTTCTCTTCACATGCCACACCCCTTACCCTTCAGATTCACTGGTTCAAGCTTCAGACGTGCCCCTGTACGATGCGATGCGTGCAAACGGAAGAGAGAAAAAAAAAAAATCCCGGAAGTCGAAGACATTCTGCACGTTCTTCGCTACATTCCCTGTAATTTTTCGATCGTGGAAAGCGTTATAATTCATCGCTTCGTTTTCCGTTCATCCCTCATTCGCCTTTCGATTCTCTACTTCTTTTTTCTTGTTTTCGGTGCATTAGCCTGTCATCCCAGTCGATAAGTCCGCGCAGGCTGTCGAAGTATAATTAATATACCGTTGGCTTAGACCACAGATGCGCTTGCAGCCATCTCATAATCACGAGGAAGGTAAACGAAGGTGCGTTGAAAATTGGGCGAGGCGATACGTTAGTTCGCTCTACGTTGAATTTAACATCACCGGTATCAGAAGTGGCTCGGTTAGTGGTTACATTTTTAATCGCAACAACGCTACACACTCGAAATTATTATTCAAGCTTAATCAACGTTATTACACGTTGGCTGGTAATTATTGCGTGAGGGAGAATACAGGGAACGCGCGAAGGTACGATAAAATACTGGGATTTAACCTGCTCACTGGTCACAGTAGAAATAACCGTGTATAGTGCGGCGCATTATGAATGATCATCCCTAAAGGTACCATTGTTTTATCTTTGAAGTTCTGCTTTCGATATTACGATATGATGTTCAGTCAATTCGAAATTTTACTCGAATCGCAGTAGAATTATCAGCGTTTAGTCCGACAAATTATAATTACAGCTTTTAAACGCACCGTAATTATGCTTTTGATGCTGGACCTGTAGTTTAATATCGCGACAATATTGATATAATATTAATTCATTTCAAAATTTTGTTAATTATTCGGCAATATCAATGTATCGAGTTCATAGTAGAAATATCCGTGTTTGGTCCGACGTCCGACATATTATAATTACAGTTTCTATTAAAGCGATTGAATTTTTTTTGTCGTAACTTACTAAAAGCCTTTTCAAGTTCATTAAACAGATTGTTTACTTCCAATCCACCCTTTAACAAACGTTCATTTAATCGTGTCGTCGTAAAACTAAATTGGTCACTTTCGAACTATCCTTAGACTGTCTAAACATCGTGGTCGAAGGTAAATTCTAAACGAGAGTATTATAGAGTACACAGGGAACAGGACGCTCTAAATCATCTGGTACAAATATTTAACCGTGCAGGAAAATTCAAACGTGTATCGAACACAGGGAAGCAGTGTTTGCAATTCGTGCATCAGCTCGATTGTGAATTCTAGTTTAATGGGATAGAGGCTTGTAAGCGGTTGTTTATCGGCAAGTAGCCGAAAACGGGTTGATATTTATTTGTCATAGTCGAAGTGGAAGTATACATCCATGAAGATTCACGCTATAGGAATTTGTTTAAAATATCGTACATAAGCGTCCATATTTTAGAAATATCGTACACCGTTTGCTATCTAAACAGAGATTACCTCTCACGGGATTGCAAATTATTATTAGCTCCAACGCGCTACGTGATTTCAGAAACGTTGCATCTAGTGTAAGCATCGCGTAATTGTTGGCTTTACGTACACTTGACGCAGATTTGTTTATAATAGCTGGCTGTTTGTTTAATGACCACTAATAACATGCAATATTTTTCTAACGGTATGAATAACGAAACGAAATTCTCCCCAGAAGAAATTTAAAAAAAGTCAATTTAAAATGTCACTCTGAGAAAGTTGTGTACCTCTTGGTGTAACCTTAATATAGCCAAACCGCTTTCAAGCGAGCTATAAATTTATGCTAAGCGCACTTACATACTTATAAACTTAATAATGGAGTTTCCGACGGTGTGTTCGATCGTTTGCATATTCCGAAACCCCTTCCATTTACTTGCTTACCTCTCGTAACTCTCGCGGTCAGAATACACGAAATTACCATCGAAAATCCGACACGCAGCGAGTCTCATGAGTGACGTACAAACTTTTTCAAATTACCTATCCGTATTGAAACGAGATTTTTGAATTGGATCAAAGTTCGAGTTTATCGCGTGAGAATCAGTATGCAGTGAAAGCATTTGTACATCGGAGTTACGGTTTTTCACGCAGTCACGTATCGCGAATTCGTAAAATCATTTCATTGAAGCGAGTATCGCATTGTTCGTTTCCCGTTTATGGTGTTTGAGCTTTCGAACCATGTGAAAATTTTGCGATCGCACGCGGTTCGTGTGATCAACACCGTGCGAGGATTCAATGCGTGGAATGCAAACTGATTTTATTTTTCCTTTGATCGGTGTCCGTTCAATTATGTATGGATTAAACGGCTGCTTTTAATAGATTTATTGTTTTTAAATAAAAATGTGTTAATAGGTTTTTCTGGAGAAAAAAAATAAAAAATAAAAATCCCTACTAAGTAGACATATTTTTTTACGAAGACGACAACGAGGAAATTGATATTCTTGAATAGGTTGCAAGTGAAATGCTTTGCATATTCTCTCTGACGAGTGATCGTTGGTGAATCTGTGCTCGACACAAACTGCTCGTCGCTTTGCATCCTTTCGATTCTCCGCATCGGTCCGTGTGTTTCGCATTCATTGACGATTAAAAGCCGCACTCGGCGCATCGCGAATATCTTCTTTCCAACTGGAGGATAGTATGACGCTCTCGGCAATGCAACGAGCAGTATTGAATTTCCTCGTCGAACGAAACAACACACGCGTTGTGTTATTCGGTCCCGCGAACATGTTCGAATCGTCGCGTCGGCAGAATCGACGGATATCCAGGATTTTCGAAGGGGAAAAGAGCGACGAAGAAGACGATAACTAGCTGTTAATAACGCCTACGCATCGATCCGGGAAATACGTTCAGCTTTAAACGAATCGATTCTCGTTTCCACAGCAAACACGAGGGGCTACCTTTGTTGTAATATTCATTACCGTTTTATTACAATACTCTGTGGTGCTTGTAACACGTATCTGCCTCGTATCGCTTTATTTCGAGCATCGCTAATTACGAGTGTATCTGTTAATGAAATCTTAATGAAACGAATGGGCTAATTGCCGTCCCACAGCTACGGGATAAATTTCAAAGGTCCTCTATTGAATATCGAGACTTTTTCTCGTTGACTCCGTTTATGAAACCTTTCCACGAGAAACATCCAACGAAATAACTGTTTGTTGTTTATTAACCGCATCATTTTCAGTATCGTTAATTCCTCCCTCGAATAGATTTCAAATTTTAATCAAACAGAGGTGTAGGCGTTTAAGTGGAGGGAGAGAGGAAGGTTTCGTCTTCCCGGACGCTTTTAGTTCGGGCTAGGGACCGCTAGGTGGCGGCCAGATAATCGGTGACAGTGTTCTCGCAAGTGGTCGCCCGGCATGCGGTTCGAATATATACAGGGTGATCCTCTCGCAGCCGGACACAAAGGAACACTGGCGACAATGAACTCCTTGACCGCACCATAAAAAGGTCTGCATTGTCACGTGCCAGGGGGACCTACCCGGGCCGAGACGACTCCTCTGTATGTCTTCATAGTGCGGTCTTCATTGTCGCCAGTTCCTTTGTGTCCGGCTGCGAGAGGATCACCCTGTAAAAATTCCGAATTGCGGTATGATAGGTGTCTGGGACCAAGGGCCCCAGCGGTGTCAGGTGCCAACCCCTACTCCCCGTGGTGTGGTCCGGGCACACCGGCTATTCCGGTGGCATACGGGGCTCTGGCTATGGGCGTGAAGCGACCCTGGTGTAGTTGCTTGCTACCCACTCCAGGTTAGTTTGTTAAAGTAGAAGCGTCCTAGACTAAAATTCCTTTCAATTCCCGACAATTAGTCAAGTGTTGGGCCTTCCGTATCCGCTGATCTACCCAGCGCCACTTGGTTGGGAGGTGGCTGCTGGGAGGTGGATATTTATATTACGTCCACCTTCCATATATTGCTCTATTGCGCAATATCGCGCCCTTAACCACCGTCGGTATAATTGCAAACTTGGAAACGGCAGGGCAGGTTATAAACATGGGTCTGTTCTCAGCCCCACTGGACGAGTCTGACAGACGATCCCAAGACGAAACGTCATTTTTTCCCCTCTCCTACAGAGGAAATACTTGTATGTTATCTGCCACCTTTATGATACGCCACAACTTACAACCAATCACTATCTTGTGACCATAATTCACCATTAAATGTCCGAGCTGATGCGTGCGCCGTTGAATCCTCCATTACTTTCCTCCTGCCCTTCCGCCTGCTCCTTCTTCTTCTTCTTCCTGTTTCTTCGCCATGGCGAAACCGTTGTTACAGCGTTCCTTTTTCAGCCGGCGGCTATTTATGACACGCCGTGGAAAACATTTCCCGTATATCATGGAACAAAGTTACATGAACTCGTCATGAGGGAGCAAGAGGGTGCGTCGGTGGCGCAAAGTAACACCCCCTTGTTCGTGTACGTGTAACGCTGTTGCGGGTGTATCTGTTTTGCCAGGAAAAGAAGAATCCCCGGAGAATCTTGAAGGATGTATTTCCTCTCTCCTTTCCTTACTCGCCGTCTTGCTTTCTTTTGTTAAATCTCCCGCGATATTGTCACTATCAATTTCCCCAACAGTATAATCCAAATACCGTTTCCACGTTATTTCCCGCGTATCGTATTGCTCGATTTAGAATTCCGGTAATTTTATCTGGTAATTGAACCCGCCTGCCATTAACTTCTTCCTTTTCTTATTAAACACCCGGTGAACTTTGAACGACGACTCGTTCGTCGGTGTATCTCGGCAGGAATATATTTCGCATACGTCAGGAGGAAAAATTTACGCGAACTCATCTGACAGGGATGGGGTGTCTCGTCGAAGGAAGCTGCTCTTCCGGCAGCCAAGATATTAAAGGGAAATTCCTCTTCTTCTTCCGCTATTGTCCAAAATCTCGGGAAAAGTTTTTTCTTCTCCTGGCAGACAAGCAAGTAAGTTCGCCAAGAGGGGGGAGAGATATTTCTTGATTGTTTCACGCGTCGGAGAGTTCAGCGGATTCCTTTGTTCGGGACACTTCGACAGGGTTGCCGTAGCAGGATTTATGCTTGATCGTTTTTCGCTTTTTCTGCTTGCAGAGATACGGAGCACCATGCCGCCGATGATAAACGAGAAGGTGGTTTATATGTCGGCCCGTCTGAAAGACACCATTGTGATACCCTGCGTCGCGTACGGAAATCCTACACCAACCAACAGGTAAGGATATCAGAAATATTTTTAGATTCTAAAAAATCGCAGCCACGACGCTTTTTTAGAGTATAAACTACATATGCATCCATGGCTGTTAGACAGTCGTTGAAGTACGAGTGATGCTTCTAGCGAATCGGTAACTTTGAACGTAGTGGCCATGGGTAAAAGATTATCACAGTGCATTCGCTCGGGGCTCAATCGAATTGGCAAATTCTCTTCATTAAAATGAACTGAAGACCATGATACTACGACTATCCTATGCCGAGATACAGCGAGTTAAAGATAAAATGGTAATTGTTCGGTTTTGAAGCATGTCGCTAAAAAGACCTGGTACATCAAAATGTTCATCAAAATGAAAAAGCAAGAGACGCATCTTAAAGAGAAAAATTTGCTCTTTCTACTGCTTTACCGAATGATCAATGATGATTTGATCGCTTTCTAGGAGCGGTTAAAGTCAAAAGGACGACTTTTACTTCAAAATTAAATAACTCAGCCAAAAAAAAATCGTACAACAACCAACAAATACTGATTTTACATAGGAAGGTAGTCGCTTTCGACTGATACAAATGCAACCTGCTAAAAAAATTTTGTTAGTGCCATGCAACGTTACAAATTTGAACAAAATTTTTAAAAACTTTCGAAGTGCTACTTATATCACTATAATTTTTATAAAATTCAACATAGCTAAAATCTTAAAAGAGGATCTGAAAATAGAGATTTCACAGCTTCAAATGATCTTTCCGCGATATCGATTCTCGTCCTATTTTTCGAGTTCGTAGAGGTGATCCCTTAATTGTTTTGCAGAGTGTATATATATAATCATGTTTGCAAAAAGTAATTGAACCAATTTTGCAATTTTATATTTCTTTTAATATAAAAAAATTATTGGTCTTGAAATCGTAATTGTTATTGGTTTTAATAATATTTTTCACGCAAGAGAAAGCCGTGATCCCCGTAAATCGAGCCAATTAAACTTTTCCGATGCATATTGCCCTCAACGTTGTATCGGGAAACTGTTTGCCAAACAAGTGAACCGTACTCGAGGGCCAAAAGTCGGCAATTAAGAAGTTCTCGGAGGACTCGGTTCTTCAAAAACACTTCTCTTCCACCGTGTAGCTATACGAGTCGGAGAACAGTGAATAAAAATGGTCCGAACCTTATTTCTTCCTTTGCTTTCGTTTCCAGACGTTTGATATATTTAACATTTGACTTCAATCAAATATTCGAAGGGCTTCTCTTTCAACGTTAGGAAAATAACGCATTCGGAATATTATTTTGTCATTTCTCTTTGAAACTTTGAAATATCTTTTCTCGAGCAAAGTGACATACTTTCTCGGTTGATTCCGAAGAGAAGAAGTTTCGAGTTTCTTTTAAAAGGGAAAGAAAAGCAGACAGCAAAAGCACAGGAAACACTTCGCGTAATCAAGAACGAATGAAACGATCGTTGGCGAAAGAGTTGAGTAAAAATATTCTTAATTAAGGGTTGCATTAAGTATTTATTAAAAAGAAGCTCAATATCGAAATTTTAATGCCGGAAATATGAATCTCACGAATTTGTAATTTGAAAATTACCTAATGAATAATTTTGCATGCTGGCATATTTTACTTTTGTTTAAAGTTAAACAGCAAATCTTTCATTAGTATCTCGACTTATTCTCCTTCATCTTTCGCTGAGGAATTAAACAGTAAGCAGCCATTTACTTTTCCTCGTGGACCCAAGCTGCTACGATACAAACTAATCATTCGACGTCGCGAAAGTAGAAGGTAACGCTCGGCTGGAGTAAATTAAAAGGAGCTCTTTAGATTAATAAGACATACCGTTCGCGTGGCAGAGTTATCCTCGAATCTCCGGTCCGCTTCAGCCGGAACTTCCGTTAAATCATTGACGATAATCCGCGGCAGCAACGTGGCGCCGCGGACGAGGATTATAACGTTATTGAAATGTAAAAATTTCAATTTTGTTCCCGTTCTCTGCCCCCTGCTCGTCCCTGTATTTCAGAATATAGAACACCGTCGTGGAATAACGTTATTTCGAGGCGAATCTCCTCTTGCCACCAATTCTGCCGGGTCTGTCCGTGATTCTGCTTGAAATAAGCCGGATGCGAACGTTGTTCCCTCGCAGCTACCTTGCGTTTCGGGTATGATTTCATTTGAAAATCGAAAAGAGTTAAATGAATGATAATAATGATCCAGGATTTTTGTTCGAATAAATCGACACAGGTCTTCTAATTACTATAATAAATTAATCGCAAAACGAAGAAATGAGTCGTCAGTAGTTTCACCAACGTTGAGAAACGAAAGGATTAACGTTAATGTCAAACCCAACGATGTGGTCTGGCTATTTCGCTTGGCAAAAGGTATTTTCACGAGCGAGATACGAAACATCCAAGGTTTATCGATGCGTAAGGGTGTATTATGCAACGGAAAGAGACAGAGAAATAGGGAACGAAGGGGATGAAAAGACGACCGGGTCTTTGACGACAGGGAATTCCGTTGCATAGGTTACCCCCCTTGAGAACTTTCCTCCAGTTGCTTTGATAAAGATCGTCCGTTCGTTCGGTCGATATTAATGGAGTTTCTTTGGTGCTCGGTCTCGAAACTTGGACCCCTTTGCCAGCCTCATGAATCGAATAAAGTCGAGGAAGAAACAAAACGACCGGGCGTAATCGAGTCCAAGAATCGAGCGAGTAAAAGCGCGCGTAACTGAAATCTTAATGAACTTTCCTGTTGATAGTCTCGTGTTTTTCGCACGGGGTACTTATAAAAATAAACAGGATGGAATAAAACACAAAGGGTGAAAGAGGAACGCGTATCAGAATTTTAATGCATTCTTTATTCGATCGAGCGGCTCTGATTAAAGGGATAAACGAACGACAGAAGAAGCAGCTTCGAAAGAAGAGAAAGATCTAGGATGGTCGTGCGTTTGTCGTACGAGGACAACGACAGCAGAATTATTAAACGTCAACCGTATTTATCTCGTCCTTTTTTCTATCGCAACGACTGGGACATGGGAAAGGGACTTCCTGTAACAAGGGCTGTTCCGCGTGTATACAAGATTATCCTGTCGCATCGCGTTTGGACGAGAACTGATTTAGTTTCGCCTTGGTGTCGCAGTGTTATCGAAACTGTTGCGTCGAGCCGTGTAACTCGTAAACCCGTTAAAATCGTCGGACGTTAACCGCCGTGGATGCCCCTATTCGTAAACGGATATCACCGTGTCAGAGAGGTATCAAAATTTTAACGAGTTTCGACGCGAGCCGTGAATAATTCCATACGCGCGTCGCTTTATTAACAATTCCCTGTCGCCTATGTTTGACAGGCGTAATTAATTTCGTCGGTCAAAGCGGCGTTCGGGGCTGATTTCCTGGATCGATAACCAGTATACGGTAATCGCGATGTTCCAAGAAACTACCCTTCTGCGATCGATTAGATAAAAATCAGAGGACACAGGACACGCGATAAACGCGCACGCAGTTTCTCGCGAGCAGGGTGGAAAAGCGGGATGGCTCGTAGGCAAGCGAAGGTGTGTGTATGTATAGAGGAGAGGAGTGTATGGGTAGCGCAAACAAACCGACCGCTGATTACAGAGACTGCTTCTGACAGCCCATCAAATATTCCGCATTTACGTGTACGCCGACGTCACTGAGTATTCCGTGCCTGTTCACCGTTTTCCCTCCCTCTCCTCCTTCGTCCTCTTGCTCCCTGCCTCTTTCGCGGCTTCTCTCGTCGAGTTGACGAAGAGCAGCGTCGTCTGACGGACGGAGATGGAGAACCGGGCCAAAGGATAAGCAAGAAGGAAGAAGAGAGAAGGAGAGTCTGAGAGTTTGCCAGTGTGGCACAGCCTTCTATCTCTATCTCTTTCCCTCACCAATTTCCCTCCGTAAATTCGATTATCTATAGGTATACTCCTCGTTGTCGACCCCTCCTCTCTTCCCGCGTCGTCAGTCCCGTACCGTACGACTCTTCAACCTAATCCGGAGTCCTTCCACACCTCCTACCTTATCCTGGCTCTCGCGAGCCGACCAACCTTCGAGAGCTTGTGACGCCGCTTTTCGAAACTACCGTCGACGAGGTCAATCACCCCGACGGGGACAAACCGCACCGTTAAAGCAAGGGAAAGGGGAGATCATTTTTGGACGAAGTTAGGGGACCGTTTTAGCTCCGAGATTGCCTAGCTGAAAATATTAACGCTTTGAACGCGTTCGAATCACCGGTGATCGACACTAATTCGGCATAATTCGTATTTAAGGTTCGCATTCGAATTTCGTAACTCTGCGGATAGTATTCGGCCTTGATATCCTTCGACCGTGGAACTTAACAGTTTCCCGACAATTTTTCCTCAGACGACGTTCGATTTTGCGAGGTCACGTACGCGTTCGTTGAACGAACACGATTTCACCTTCGTCTCCCCTTATCGCTTCGATTATACGGAGTTACCGGGAACTCTGTGCTCGTTGAAAGCGGACAGGTGAAAAGGAGGTTTCCAGGAATAATATTTGTCGACGAACTGAGCGTACGGACGAACGGGGCTACCTGCGCGCTTAGAAGACCAGAATCAATAGCGGTAGCGCGACGAAAATTTTATTTTCCAACTTTCTTCTCGATAAATATTGACACTGCTCGTTTCCGTTTCCGTGTAACGCGAGTGTTTCTTTCTTTGAGCGTCGTCGGGTGAGGAAAGACTTCGACAAACCACCTCGTATGCAACTGGAAGAATAGACATTCTCTAAATAGAAGGATTCGCGTTGATCTTCGCTTAAACGTCGATTTTGAGATTGAATTGGATCAGATTTTCCTCGGTGGATGGGTTCAAAGGGTCGGGGTTAACCGGGAAAGATCGATTCGATTATCCTGATAACGCAAAAATTTCCTGCTCGCTGGTAAACGAACGCATGCCATATCCAGTATGGTTCCTTTATTTAAAGATCCCTCGGTATTAACGATTTTCTCGTTTGTTTCCGGTATACGGTGAGGCTGCTTGTTCAAGCGGCAGTGTTTTGAAAACGTGCCAGTACATCTGGCCGCTGTATGCCCGTGGTCTGTGTGCATCCAGGGCCTCGAACAACAACAAAAAAAAAAAAGGAAAAAAGGAAAAGAAAAACGTTGAACGTACGAGTAGCGTAGCACAATTCACGGTCGTGCCGCGTGTGTATTCAGTCTTGCCGATGAAACAGTTGTTATTTTGTGGTTGCCACGAGTGCACCAGAGAGATACACCGCTGGAATGGAATGGCTCGGTTGGATAGTAAAACGGTACGGGCCAATATCGCTCTCTGTCCGATGCCAGTGGTACGAGCGTGTTTTTGCCCCGGCACGCTTGAAATCTTGAGCAACGATCGAACGTTGCATCGTAACGAGACTGCAGCTTCCAAGGGAGATGCACAGTTCCGATTCATCGAGCCGACCAGTCACTGGAGCGACGGCACGCTCGAGTTGACAGTAGTATGCACCGTGACTGGTCAGACGAGCGTGCGGCAAATCTTGAACCGCGACGGTTATTGTTGTTTCACTTCTTTCGAAAGTTCATTGGACTCTTATTAATCGCGTTGAGCGACCGAGTCGCCGACAGGGTGAATGTAATGCATTTACAGGGAACTTTTTAACTCTTTAATTACTGTAATTAAAATGGACGTGTGTGGAACGAATCATAATTGTAATTATTCAGAACTTTTCACTTGCTAACTTCGACGTTAATAATGTTGAGCAATGGGAAATAGGAATATTTTTTTTTTTTTTTTACTGCAATAATAACTTAAAATTGTATCTGCAGTAGAAATTTACTTTATCCGAAAGTATTGACGTCTCTTAAAATAGAATTTCCAATTGTGTCGTCTCGTAGTAACGCTAGGATTTTACGAGCACCGGCAAAGCTCGCTGGTTGTCATTCCTTTTTACGATTTCAAGACAAAAGCCGGCCAAGCCAACCGATCTAGAGATCCAGGAAGAAATGTTCCTTCATTTTTTTCTCTTTGCTTGTTACGTCACAGGTGGTATTACAATAGAAATCAGAGAGAAGAGCCTATCGAGGACACATCCGGGCATTACATGGTGAGAGACGGTTCGTTGATCATACAAGGCGTCCAGGAAGGCGATGCTGGCTCGTATATGTGCACCGCCAGTAATTCGGAGGGCAGCGAATCCATGGAAGTGAGGTTAACGGTGTCTGCGCCATTGAGCGTTCATGTTCAGCCGTCGATTCAAACCGTCGATCTTGGAAAAGCCGCTCATTTGGTAATTGATGATTTCCATCCCTATTTATACGAGCCTGGTAATCCGTTGCTCGACTTAATTCACCCAAAATTAGAAGCATCGATGAAGCTTTTGATTGCTCTTTATACCCTTAATATTCGTATCATTCATCTTTGAAGGTTCTATTTTTTTTAAACACGGATTATCAGGATCTGCTAATATTTATTACAGAATAGTGATATAAGTCAATAACATACCAAGAAAACCGTTTATACTATTCATTTATTTAATAACAATTTTTTAATACATGCTGTTGTTATTGGAATCACTGTTCCACCATGAAACATATAATACAGCGTTCAGTTTACTTTGTTAAGTTCAATAACATTGTAGTTTGTTTACAAACGTTCTACAATAACTTTAATGATTTTGTATACAATATTCATTATGCCATATTCTGCTAATAATAATACCACAGAATAGTGGTATAAGTCAATAACATACAAAGAAAACCGTTTATACTATTAATTTATTTAATAACAACTTTTCAATACATGCTGTTGTTATTAGGAATCACTGTTCCACCATAGTTCAGTTTACTTTGTGAAGTTCAATAACATTGTAATTTGTTTACAAACGTTCTACAGTAACCTTAATGATTTTGTACACAATATTCATTATGCAATATTTGCGATCAATTAGTACCGGCAGATTGTGTTAGCTTTATTTGACTCGCATTATCATAACAATACTTAATTTTAATTACGAAAGGGGACAAACTCTTCACATAAGAACGTCAGGAAAAATCTGCCCAATATGTTTATTGATTATTCCGTCTCGGTAGACCCTTATTTCGAGCCGTATATTCGGCAAACTTTTCTGTTCCTTCATGAACAAGAACGTTCGCTGCGAAGCAACTAGATTCCAATTTTCTTGGCAAATTGTTTGCCCAGAACCGGGCCATTTACCGTGATCCCCGTTTCACTGTAATCCGATTTTCACGAGGTAAGGCGGGAAACATTTCGAGTTGAAGTTTGTTTTCCCTCTACGTATCCGGCGTGGCTAGCCATGTTGGCAATCTTGTTTTCGTAACGGAAAAGGGGGCAGAAGATTCGAGGGCATCCCTGTATCGGTGTGCGCGTTTAAACCGGCCGACTCTCATCGGTACACCTTTTCTCTGAACTGCTTTTCAGACTTGCAGCGCAAGTGGATTTCCGCAGGCGGCGCTGTACTGGTTGAAGGACGGTCAGCCATTGAGAACGGGCGTTCGTATAAGGGCGGTTTCCAGGGAACGTATTTCCGTGATGTCGGTTGCACGGGAGGATCGCGGCATGTACCAGTGCTTTGTGAGGAACGAGTATGAAATGGCTCAAGGAATTGCGGAATTGCGGCTGGGCGGTGAGTCTTCTTTGTTTGCTTAACGTTTGCCTCCATTCTGCTCCATTCGCGCGATCTGCATGGGGAGCGAGCGAACGATGGAAATATAGAATAAACAGATCGTTATCGGGATTAAAATTGAAAATACGCATCTAACCTTAACTAGAACGTTCAATCTCGGACTACAAAATCACGAGGGTAGTTTTTTAAGGATCGTTGCACCACCCAAACGATATCGGATAAAGATTCATAAACGGTAATTAAAAGAAATACCCTTTCTATCATAAACAAGGATCGTTTCATTATATCGTCGTTAAAGCACATTCAAGATTGCCCGTTTCATTCCCCTCCCTCTCGACATAATAATCTTTTTCTCCCGCTGTAAGAAGCTCGAGCCACCCTGCTGACTCTCCGGTAATATCCATTATATCGTTTAAACGATTTTAAACAACCATCTTACTCCTTCGTTCCCTCCTCTTCGTAGATAGCAACAGGATGGCTCGCGAAAACAGTTTAACGAACGTTTCGCGAAAATGAAACGTTTAAGACAGTCCGACGTGGCGTCTAATGACATCACGTCCAGAGCCACAGCTTTAAATTACGTCTAGCTTCTTCAATTTCGACAGTTAAATTCTTGCTGTCTGAAAAACGTTCTTTTTGCACGTTTTTCGTTTGTTAAGCCGATGATTTTCCTCGGTGGAGATTGGGTACGAGATTGAACCGATGTTTGGAAGACAGACTTGCAGTAGACTCAGGGACGAGGAAAGAGGCGAAAGGGTTGGGGGTGAACTTGTTTGTCGAGCGAATGGTTGCTGGTGGTTAATGCAGTGGAACTCCTACCCATACGATCCATTCCAGGTTTGCGTGGCACTCCATCGTAACGCGTTTTCCATCACGGAGCCGTGCTGCTTTCCTCTAGGGAAGTACGTGCCATTTTTGCGCGAAAATGGCCACATCTCTCTCTTCCGATCGTGCCTCCAGCTGGAAATCGCTGTTTGCCACCCGTTAATCGCGCTCGCTTCGATTCGAATGCTTTTAATTATAGAATCCCGCCAACCCATCGTTCGTGCTCGTCCCGTTTCTTTTCTTTGTTGATTTTAGGTGCTTTTAGATCGAGCTCGATTCAATTCTCGAACGGTGAGGAATTTTTGTGATCGAATATATATATGATGTTAATAGCCGAGTGTTTTGTTGAATGAGATTGAATTTGATCTCGGAAATTGAGCTAGTGGTTTTTGTGGATAAAGAGGGAGGAAGGTTGAATCGAAGCTTTAATTTGATTTGTAAATTTGTGAAATATAGAATGTTTCAATTAAAGCGGAATATTTAATTAGTATATTAAACTATGTATAATTGAAATGCGAGAAAGAATTCATTTTTTCGCATTGTATATCTACCTCAGGAAAAGAGACATTAGAATCAGTGGCCTACAAAAGTTTTCTTCGTCCATCTTTTTCAGTCGACAATAAAGTGTGTCAACGATTACAATCGACCTTTTGTGCTCGTACTGCGACCTTTGCTCGAAGATACGCCTTTGTCGCGCGTTATTTCGATGTAAAACAGTCTTGTTTTCTCGAATTTCACGTTCAGAGGTCCTGGTATCGGTTACTACTTTCGTCGTCGAGTTTTAAGTAATGGACTTGGATGCTTTTTCCATTAACCGGACCCAGCTTGTACGGTGATCGATGCTTCCAAGTTTATCGTCCCGAAGATTTCAATTAAAACACTTTTATCAAGGCAGATTGCTATCGGCTGGAACTCGTTTACAGAGAGAAAAGTTGTCTGTCCGTCGATTTCGCGGGCCACCAGCTACCAACGAACGAGAAGATTTCGCAGGTATCGTTCGGTGTTCCGAAACTCTGGAAAACGTATTTTCTATCACGAAGTCGTTCCGCCCCGGGCTACGCGGTATTTTTCCAGGAAAATGGCCTCGTTTGCTTTCCATCGTTCGGTCGTGCACGCGGGACCGATGTTGCGTATTAATACGTTCTATCGAGAACCGCGTGATACGCGAATTTTCCCCCCTGGAAATATAATAAAACCAATTTATCGACACTTTGTTTTTACCTTTCGCGAATCGGTATGCCTATGGGAACAAATCGCCCCTCTTTCAAACAGCACGGCTCGTCAAAAACAAAGACGCCGAAGTCAAATTTATTCATAATTTATAATTCCTCTGTTCCGATATAAATAATGGTGTTGGTTGATTGGAAAAAGCGAATACAGGCGTTAGAATGGCGATGCTTTTTTACCGAATCAATGATCGCGACTTGGTCGGGGTGGAAATTCAATTAAAACTCGATTTACGAAGGAAATTAATTATTCTCATTTCTTACGATTGCACGGAAAGTTCCTTACGTACTTTCCTAGTCATTAAACACACACCGTGATATAGTGGCCGTTCGGTAACTTTGATAGTCGTCGAAACTTTAACTTCTCTTTCGTTCTCGGTTGGCCTCCATTTCACTGACCACGGACCAAAGATACAATTGGTACGGGAAGCCTGCACGGTTTGTTTTCTCTTTCCCTCGATTCAAAGGCTGTCGGGCGTCAGAGGTGAAACTATTTCCTCTCTCGCCACGCCCGCCACCCTATTGTACGCAACGGGTAATTGAAGGGGCGAAGGAGAATAGGTTCTTAGTGGCCAGACACCGCGATAGAAACAAGAACAGGGGCAAACAACGGTAATGGATTCAACCTTTGAACGTTTCACCTACAATTGTATCGGCCCACGATAACTTACCGTCACTCGGAGTTAAGCCTGCTAAACGATTTTTCATTAGTTTTAAAGGGGGTTGTGATTGCATATTATTTCGAGTGTATTAACCACCATCATAATTTAAGAATTCTTATGATAAGATAAATATAATAAAAATTATCAGATATCGAGCTCCTGTATGTAAATGTATACCAATATTGTTATTCTCCTTGACAATGTCGCATCAATTGGAAATATTTCTTGAGGAAAACAATTTCTCTCTAATGATTCTACCTATTATTTACAAGTATGATTTCGATCAGTTCGTTCTCTTGCTGTTTGTATTTGCAGTCTACAATAACCATTTCTTCCTCCAATAATACAGAGTAATATCGTTCGTACACGGAATGTCTCGTAGGTTTTCGTATCGTTTATAGAAAAACAGTTGCTTGTTTTTATTAAAACAAACCTGGAATCTACAGCGTATCGATCTTGTCGCAAATTGAATTTCATCAATTCGAATATTGATTTATTTTTTTAAATTCGATCTCTACCTTTATTAGAAATTTATCAATTAAGGATTTGATATATTGCGTTACGCGAATAATCGAAGATGGGAAAGTTGGATGTCCCGTTAGCCCTCATTAGAATTCTTCTCGGCCGCATGATTTCAAAGCTGCCGGGCATACAGTGTACATTAGGTGGGGATTGCCCGCAGCACGATGAGATAGTTAGTACCAGCACCCAGGATTTGCATACGCTAACGAGATTCCTGCGGTTTTGCCGATGCTTAGCATGCCGGCCGAGCACGATCTCGGTTCAGCTTGAACCTCTAGCTACGTCTATTTATTATGCGTCATAGATACGTCAGGGAAGAAGGCGTACCGCATGCAAGGAGGAGCAAACAAGGACACGAAAGAGTTACAACACACGTTCGTGCTTGCTGCAAGTAGTTCAGGTATTCGGGAGCCGAATATCGTACGAGCGACTTCGTTCAACTTTGACATCCAATTCTGTCCGAATACCGAATTAGAAACAGAGTTAGTCTACGTTGTTTCATTTTCTCATTCGAAGTTCTTGGAATATATTCGAAGGCTAATTACATTTCTTTTGATGAATGTCAGTCAATCTTTACTAGAATAACTTTCAACCACAAGGGGTTAAAATTTGAAATACTTGGAAAATAAATATATACTAATGTATATATTTCTAACTCTAACCATTACGAATAACTGGGTCACGAGTATACTCGAGGATAGCGCAATCAAAGATTTCAGAAACGTAATTCGTTTAACGACCAGGGAAAGTCGCATTTCGTCGTAGAGATTGATCGCGACGCAATTATAATATACGAAGTGGGATCGCGAGGCGGAAATGTTAGACGAAGGGCATCGTTTAGAGAGGGGTCTAGAAATTCAGACGAACCGGAAACGAAAAATTCGTTCCCTTACCCCTTACTACGGTAAATTAAGTTTCTAGACGAGTCGCGCTCGCGGTCGTTGCATCCGTGTTTCACTGGGATTTTTAATTTACATTGCTGCCAAGCAACGAACGGGCTACCTTCACGAGTACTGGTTATATTTAACGACAGACTGGGCTATTATTTACACGAAGGTCCTCGTTTTCTTTCCACGATAAACAAGCGGCTGTGCTCTCTGTTCGCGTTTCATTAACAACGGAGCCCAGCTCGTTGAACCAAAACGCCGTTGCCTCGTAAAATTATCGAGCGCGAAACGTTTACGTAGAATACATACACACGAACACGTATCGAAGCTTCGGTTAAATTCCTAATCGAGAATGAAATTTCAAACGTTCCATCGTATTACTGGTCGCACGGGACCGAGGGAGAACGCGGACGGTAAACGATAACCGTACTGTTGCTATCTCTTTAATCTGCATAATTTTACAATAAATACGAAGCACGGGCAAAAGAAACAGGAGAAGAGATACGATGCATTGTCAGAGGGGAATAGGAGAGAAGGTTGAGAGGTTAGTTATGATAAATCTTTCTTCTTCTTTCCTTGCCCTTTATTTTGAACCGTTTCGGTACACACAAACACAGGGATCCCTTGTACCTGAGATATTTTCAAAGATTATTCCACGTGCTGAAGGATCTTGGGACGGGAAGTAACTCGCTACGAAGACGGAGTAACGAGACCGGATAATTGGACAGACGTAATTGTTAATTTATTAATAGCTTCCTTAGCCAGCCCTGTCTTTTAATTATACGCAAGGTGCCGACGTGACGTTGAATTTTTATGAACAACCACCGAGGGACTGAATTAAAAGAGGAGTAAAATTACTACAGGTAGGTCTCGATTAGTGCGGGTAATAAATCTCAAAAATTGTTCGCATTGTTTGAATTCGTACTATTCGAATACTTGAAATATAGGAATTGATTCTTAGTTAAAGAAAATATACGATCAAAATTTTTGAAATATACCTTTCATACGTATATTATTAAATTATAATAGCATAAACATGTTTATTATTTTTTAAAGTATTTTAACAGTGTTGATTGCACTTTCTTCTGCTTTTTTCATATCTTCGTATATGTGACGATAAACCCGCAGTATTTTATCCAAGTCTCTGTTAACTTGCATGCTTCGATCCATGTCTGGATCGGCATCTGAAATTTTTTGTTTTACGACCTCCACAGCTTGAAATATATCTTCGAATTCTTTGAGAAGAATTATTTCTAGAAAACAGAAGAAATTTAAAAACCGTTAAAACAAAAGACTAATTTTTCTCACTGTTTTACCGATTGAAAGAAGTCTGGCAAGCCTTGCATTAACTGAATTTTTGTTCTCATTAAATGCGAATATCGCACTATGTGAACTAGCATTAATTGAGACTTACCTGTATTTGAAAATTATTTACATACAATATTTATTATATGTTAGTGATTGCGTTGAACGTCTTTTAACTTCATCAGTCACGTTAGATCGTGAATTAGCAACCGGCGATCAAACGATGTCGGGAAGGGGTGAAGTTTTATTAAGTCGCGAGTCGGTAGAATCACGGTATGCATGCGAAAAGTTCTCGGCAAGTCGTCGTTGTTATTTCATAGCCGACGTGCTCGCGCTTATGAACTTCATGAATTCATTACCGGCCAGGGTCGTTACGCGAAGCGGCACGTTCATTTAGAGCCCTTCAGGAAGTGGAACGCATATCCGCGAGCAACGCGCAATGGTTACTTTCAATGTGTCTCTGTTAAGAGTCGCGGGACCCTCTTAATCCCGTCGACTAATTATTTATTACGAAGATCACTTCGAAGCTGATTCGATACGGAGCGTTTAGCGATTCGATAGGATCGCGGGGTTGTGTTCCCGGTGAATCCTATCAGACGCGTTACACGTGTAATCGCGGATGCTTGGAAACCGCCTTTGTCAGTGTGACGAGGACGAAACATTAGGTCGCGTCGAATCTCGTTAACGCTATGGAAGCCGGGCAATTTAACCGCCTCGATATCGCGTTTCTCGCGATGCAGTTCGAGCGAAAGCTTTCGTTAACCCCGCAAAGAAGCGTTGCTAACAGCGGTCCAGATTCGTAGATCAACTGGAGTAAAAGTAGAACAGTTAGGAAGAATCGAAGTCCTATTGAAAAGGAGAAACGATGCGATCGTTTGGATTCCAGGAAAGGTGAAAATCGTTTGGTAGAGGGAAAACTAGAAGGCTGGCGATGCTTTCGTGGTATTTCGATGCTTCAGAGTATGTGTAATCCGAGCATAACGTCTGTTAACAGAGATCGCGCCGCAGCTGGTCTACAGGTTTATCGAACAGACAATGCAGACCGGTCCATCGGTTTCTCTGAAATGCAGCGCCGCGGGTAATCCCACCCCGCAAATTTCCTGGCTTCTGGATGGATTTCCGCTTCCACAAAACGACAGACTGCTGATTGGCCAGTACGTGACTGTGTACGGGGACGTAATATCGCACGTTAACATCTCTTCGGTGAAGTCCGAGGACGGCGGAGAATACGAGTGCATCGCGAGCAGCCGAGCTGGCGAGGCAAGACACTCGGCGAGGCTCAATATTTACGGTGAGTACTTGGTAGAGGATAGAGCCAGTGTTAAGGAGAAGAATTGGCTGGCGGTGTTGATTGAAATTGACTGGAAACCCAGGGGAATATTACGGATTCTCATCGATCGACGTCAGTATGGCGGTACGATGGGATTCTTCGTTATTAACCGGCACCCGTTAGCCAGGGGGTGGTCGGTTAATTAAAATCTACCCCTTGCAGCTTTTTTTCGTTTTATCGGCGGATTATCCATACTGATAGAAAGATTTAACGACATAGAAATGTCCGTCATAAGATTGGATGAAAACGTTATTAGGGAGATGGTTTGAATGTTGCAACGGAACGGACATTATTTGGAACGAGATGTATGGTGTATGTTTTGTTGCTTTTGTCAATCACAGGTTTACCATACGTCAGACCGATGTCGACGGTTTCGGCGGTGGCCGGGAAACAGTTTCACATCAAATGTCCGGTCGCTGGATACCCGATTGAGTCGATCATTTGGGAAAAAGGTGAGTAGCGTTATCTTCCGTTACTATTGTTGTATACCGAACCATTCTTTATCGTACTTAAACAGCCCGGCTTTCTCATTGTATTATAAGTCAACCTTTAACAACAAACATCCCAAGTCTTTCTTTCTACTCCTAATGATTCAGCCGAACCAGTCATCTTCAAACCTTGACCTCATGATCTCACCCTTTACCGACCACTGGACTCTCAATAATTCCCACCTTCCTATTTTTCCGATTCTATAAAATACCCAGCACTTTTCCCTCCGCGTCAGATTTTTCCGAACCGTCTTAGGAACTAGAGATAATATTGTATTCGTAAAACAACTTCGCTTGTATTTCATTTTGCGATTAAAATAAATATCGCGAGCGAAATACAACACTATCTTCTTTATACTTATCAATTGTTTCGTTACTTTGTCACCAGACGGTATAAGGCTGCCCACGAATATGAGGCAAAGGGTGGCGAACGGTAGTCTATACATCGATACGGTACAACGAGCCGCCGATCAAGGCACTTACACATGCATCGCCAGAAACAAGCACAACTTCACCTCTCAACGGTCGGTCGAAGTGCGCGTTCTAGGTGAGTGAGGGAAAAGCAAATATTTCCCGATACAGATCTCTTTTACAGGTTTCACCGGCAGCAGAACGATTTAATTTTCCGAGTTATTCGAACTCTATTGGTCGCGTACGTCCACTGTTGGAGAATCACTTTTATCCTGTAGTATGAAGTTCCGGCCTCGATAGATCGTACAAATTAATACATCGATGGATGCTCCCGAACGTTAATCTTTTTCAAATACCTCTATGTTTTTACATTTATAGAGGAAGATTGTGATACCTTGTCAATCTGTATTAAATACTCGGAGAGCGATTTATAATGGAGGAAAGGAGATATCACGGTGACAATTTTTCCCTGTGTTATTTTAAACAATTTTGAAAAGAAAAGAAAAAGAAATGATTCTTCTTTATTGAATTATTGACAGTAATCAAAACAGCGTGGACCGTACGTGATCATTCGAGGTACAAAAGAACGATTATCAAGCGATAATCACGGCACTAAAATCCTTTTGTTCGATACGCTCTCCCTATTTCCCGTCCGTAATTTTCCATCCCCGCGGCAATCGCGTATTAATTACAATTCGTGTATGCATAACATCGAGGCGTGTTTGATGCGTGCCGCGAAATTTACCTTCACACAAAATGTTTCTATATTAGGTTTACGGAGTGAATTCCGTGTACTCTATTGTTCATCGCCGGTCGGGATTAGTTAACGCGAGGCAGCATTGCTTTCAATTCTCATCCCCCCTATGGGTTTCGTGCGCGAAATTTTCGAAACACCGTGAAACAACCGTGCCGCGAGCAATCGGACTATCATCATCGTCTTTTAATTTGTTATCACGAAAGGGATACGTTTACATTGAAATTAAATTCGCGATTTAATCTATTTACACTCTATTTTACATTTCTCTGTACGCGTTTCTTTTTTGGCTCAAACAAAAATTCGTAAGTATCCTCGCCAGAGGTAAATTCAATTTCGAGAAAACGGAAGTGTGTGCAGTTTAATCGACGTTGCCTCGCGGGAAACGGCTTCAGATACTGCTGTAACTGTGATCCAAAAGCTGGGGAAACGCAGTGAAACTTCTAAAAAAAAAAAATTTCGAGAAACCTGCCCGTAAGTTGCCTTTAAAGGATTCTTTGGCAAACGTTCCAGTGGTGCAGGAATATTTTACCGTGTCTTTGAGAAGTCCTCGAAAGCGATTCTTCGGACGCAGTTCGTCTGAATAATCGATTCGTCGTCTCGCGAAAGAGCTTCGTGGAAAAAGGAGGAAAATCAAACAGGCACGAGGAGAATAGAATTCGATAATCGAAAATCTCAGAATGGAAATTAATTAACTCTTCATCGTCTGAATTCGCTTCTATTTACTCGTCCGCATTGTGACCGTATCGGTTACTCTGATTTAGGCGGATTTGCGTTATGTTATTCTCCTGCTCCACTGGAATCGTCTTGCGTGCTGCTGCTAAGGAGATCAAAGGGAAATGTGTACCCGATGCACATTATCCGCGTCTATCGGATGCTTCTATGAAACGTAATCGCTTGGTTAATGGAGGTGCAGCTCGTTGCGAGCTCTCTGACACGATCGAAGAAATGTTCGTGACACGGAAATTTTCTTATGATAGTCATCGTATTATAGTCTGTTACATGTAAAAATGAGAAAAAAAATCAAACATGAGACTTATAGTCACGAGACAGAGGAATGAAAGTATAAGTCCCCTGCGACGCCGACCTTCCGGACTCTTGGTTCCAATTTATAATTAATCAATTCGCGCTACAGTGTCCTAAGGAATTTCACTTCAAAAAATGTCAAAACCAGAGAAACATGAACAGACTATATACGTAGGAGCAATTTTGTGTACATAGATGTGCGTTAGGGTGTGTGTACGTGTGGGTGTATGTGTCAACCCCTTTCTATCTCTATCTCATTCTATCTTTCTCTATCTCTTCTATGTGCGTCAACGGATATCCGTGCGTTTGACAACACTCGCGAACGAACCCACGCACCAAGAGCACAGCACTTCACTGCATCGCTCAAGCATCTGTCCTTGCACGCGCTCGCCTAACTGCTCTGTATATTATTATTCCGTACGTGTACCATTGTACATAAAAATTCATAACGCGGCGATGCCTACGTATCCGCTATCTTGCGAGGAAAGGATACGAGGACGCTACGTATAGTACGTGCCGGCAAGGATACACGGGACGCTTACCATCGCGTCGCGTCGTGCGATCCGCTTCCAGTTAATCGGCTCGTGCATCAAGCAGGCAAAGGATCGTGACTGGTTAAAGAAAATTTTACGAGTAGATCAGGAGGGGCGTCGCGTCGTAACGCGATAGGGGGGTGAAAAATATCGCTGACCGGGTTAATATCGTCACGACGACGGATGCCATTGATAGTCCCGTTTTATGCACGATATTATGCCCCAGGGCGCAACGTATGAAAAATTGATCGTTTCCGGTCGCTTAGCTCAGGCAAAAGACGTTCCTTTTAGACGAATAACTTTTATGGATTAAAGTGCTTGACGAGAATATCAGTCAATGACGTGTCGAAAGTAGTTTTTATCGATGAATTTTAAACTTTGAATTTCATTCACACACCATGTGTACCGATCGTATCGATAATAATGATATAAATGGTAGGCAGCGTTCGATCAAGCGTCCCGTGTATTCTATCCCGTGTGCACGCACTTGTATATAAATATGCTGTTGTCGAAGCATCGATATTCTATTACCGTGATTCGATCATCGTTTATTTCGCGCGTTGTGCACTTCACGACTACTGTGCAGAGATGGAAAGAATAATAGCGGGACGGCACAGCAGCAAAGGGAGCGCTTCGCACGCTCCGTCCTGACCCCACGTTTGATCCTCGCGTTTAAATTTCGCCGCGACGCTGACTTCGTACCATCTCCCTTTGTCGCGAAGCGAAATTTTTCTTCTTTGTCAGGCAACGCGATTAGTGTGTGATCGCATCGGCCAATAGCCGAACAGCATGCGCGTGAGGCGTGACGCTCCGACTCCGAACATTCGTACCCCCATTCCTTTCGCTATTATTCTTTCCATCTCTGCACAGTACGCCTTGCATAACTGTTGCATCAAACAGGCACGATTTTATCGACAATTTTCATAATCGATAGAAAATAGATCGAAGGTTACAAGAGCGTCGAACGACTTTGATAGGTTTTTATCTACCACGAATAAAAAGGACCAAAAGAATCGAGCATATCGTTAGCGGTTCACCTGCAACAGATTTATATATGAAGTTGATATTGATTGCATAAGCTGGCTCGGTGGAAACGTGAAATCTTCATCGAAAAACGAGAGGATCGTCCGGTGAACGAGTTCATTAATACGATTCGGGGGGAGGGTGAATTTTTCCGCGAATTTTTCATTCCACTCGAGAAGAGAAGCAGCGATGGAATCGTCGAACCCCGCCATAGATGGAAAAGTGAAAACCGATCAACGAAAAACTTTCACGCCGCGGCGATCACGATTAAATATCGATTATCTCGTTTGTTTCCCTAACGCGCCGGTTTATCGTCAAACCGTTTAAGGCAAAGAAGTGTATTGCGTGACGTTACAATTATTGCGAGCCATCGCTGTTGTGTGATATTGAAAAAAAAAAAAAAAAAAAAAAGACAAAAAGGAAGGGTGGAACGAAACGCGAGCGTAAAGCGGGCGGAAGAGATATAATTACACGAGCAAAGCGCGTTCGAAAATTGCGTTTCAGTGAAACTGAATTTGCCGGGTGTAATTCGAACGCTCGATTCCCCGATTAACTTAATCGATTTAGCAACAAAAATGGGAAAAGCTTGTATCCCTACGATCAATCTGGTGTCTGAACGGGGGGAAGTATACAGGAATTTGTTTCGCAGTGAATCGTGACGATTTTTAGCGAGTTACGCGCGATGATTGCCTATTAACTCTTAATTGGGAAGATTAAATACGCGCCGGGTAACCGTTCCAAGCATTATCAATCGGATTTTGATGAAAAAAAGTACGGCTGGATATGTTATCCAATTAATCGTACGATTGAATCGCTACCAGATCTTACGGTAATACAGCCACGAGATTAATATGAAAAAAAAAAAATTGTCGATAAAATAAAACGCTTAATAACCAGATAAGAGAACACAGTAGCGTTATCAGTGAAGTTCGCAACGCGCAATTATCTGTCTGATAAGCTATCCGTGTGTCTATAGACAACCGCAACAACAAACGATATCCTTTGTACGCCGCGCATTAGGATACTCCGTGCGACTGGACCAACGTAATTCTAACAAAATTTTCAGCCAACGAAGGGAAATATTCTTTGAAGCTTTTTCAAAGACCTCGTTTTAAGGCTTTAATTTAGTCGCACGCGGGCCCGGCCATGGAAATTTAATTAACGCCGCTGTAATTACAAGCAGCACAATATGAACAGCCTTTGACCCGGTGGTGCCTTCATTAAGCAACCGGAGTCTCATTCGATATATCGAGATAGTTGGACCGTCCACTATTTTTTTTCCATTATTTTGGTTAATGGTCGCAGGGTGTCTCCTATCAACTAGCTTTTCTTACAACCGATGCTGTCAGATATCTTAAAATTATCGTACAGTGAAATATCGATTGCAGAAGAAAAGATAATTAATTGATCATCATCTGACAGCATCGATAGACGATTAAGACCGTCTGTCAGCGTTCAACGTTGCGTCCCAATTCTCCAACCCCTCTATCCGAATTTCTTCGTGTGTCATCCCCCAAAACACTTTCACCCCCCAAAGACACCGCGACTTCTCTATAGCGTTCGTGAACCGCTTTTTTTTTTGACTGGAATGCCACCTTTGTCTTTGTATTGTTCTTTCAGTGCCACCTAAAATCACGCCTTTCAGTTTTGCTCGCGATTTAAACGTAGGGGACCGTACTAGCGTACAGTGCGTGGTCGTGACTGGCGATCTGCCACTGACGTTCACGTGGCTGAAAGATAACGTGCCAATAGAGACGATCAGGACGTCGCAGGATGCTACGTCGTCAAGCCATAGCCGCGTTCAGGCACCGGCCAGTCATGGAGACGCGATAAAGGGTCCCAAAAGGGGCCCGAAGGCCGACGGCCAGGGGGAACAGTCCCCGAGAAAGGCGATTACCGTCCGCCAATATGACGCTTTTACCAGCGCCCTGAGCATTAGCACGATCGCACCCGCGCACAATGGCACGTACACCTGTCGCGTGGCCAATGGCGCTGCCACCGTCGCTCATTCTGCACTCCTTCACGTCAACGGTAAACGCACACCGTTGGTGTACATCTTCTTCGGTTCAGGCTTTACGACGACAGAGCTGTTAATACAATTTTTCGATTCTTATCCTTCGTTCAATTCGTTGATACATTTATTCTTGAATAAGGTTGTCCACGAGGTGCTTTGGGCATTAAGGGTGACGCAATTTGTCCCAAAACTAAGTCCCGGAGCAGGGTAGATAGAAAGCGATATAGGATCAAACCTCTGCCACGAGGGCAAAACTCATGGATGGCCTTAACGTAGAATATTTTGGGCCGATCTCGACGTGTCTGCATGCTACGATACGTCGCCAGATCGTGAAATTTATTATAGTTTTGAAATTTTGAGAAAGTGTAGCATGATGCACTAGAATTAAATAATAATTGAAGTCATTATCTAAAATTGAAATTTGTACGTGTTATCCATGTTATAACGTGTCGTACTTGTTACCGTTGTTTCTACCGCGACGATCAACGCGTTAAAAAGGCCGAGTCGCGATTCAACGGTACGTAATAAAGACAGGCTGGCAATTTTCCAGCTCCCTGGATTATGTGCTCACGGTGGAAAGTAACTGATTGATCGGTCGGTAAGGAAACATCGGAACGCGGTCTCTCTAACTGCTGGCATGATCGATCAATCAGCGGTGCTCGAGACAGGTGCGTCGCGACGCGATCAATTTTCCCTAGCAAAAGAGAACTTTTGATTCAGCTAACGACTGCAACCTTTTTGTACCAGTTCGTCTTATCGGTCGATGCTGATGTATCAATTATCAGACACCTCTGTCGTCGTTCGCCAGTCGAGTTTCTTATGCACCACGTACACCGAACATCGTCGAGGATGATCTCGGATCATCGAGCGAGATCATTCGAAGCGATCCGTTTCTGCTACATGCTAGTCCAACATGCACGTCCAAGGCTACGATTACGATAAAAGCGTTTTTTAAAAACACTTTCTTGATTTTTATGAAATCTTTCACGATCATACTTCAAATATTGAGAATATTTCAGAGATACTTAAGAAAACGTTTTCATTATAAAAATAGCCTGGCACGTCCAACTGGGACAAGCTTTTCCTCGATTAGCCTCCAGTTTCACAGTCATTTTTCATGATAATCTTTTTTCATCGCCATTCGTGTCTCGGGGCGATATCGAGCGTGACGAAACGTGCGAGGTGACGGCTCGACGCGGATTATTAGATTTCAATTTAGATCAGAAATAGCCGCGACGGGGCAAGACGAATCGCCTCGAAAGTTGTCCCCGTTACGACGTGCCACGAATTTTCAATCTTTTCCGAATTTTTTGAAAGCTTCGTAATTCTCTCTGTCTTAACAACACTCTGTGACTCCTGCACGCTGTTCTTCTTATGCACGCCTAATTGCACGCTTTTTACCTAACGGAATACTCTTGATACGTATATATATATATATGTATCTATATATGTGTATCTATATGTATAATGTCCAGTATAATAATATCTTGCCAGTTGTTTCATAACTCTCGTATACGAACGGCTCGTTTATTTATTTTCTAGTGTGTGGTAACGAGTCGACAAATGAAGTATGTTTCGTAGATCGTACAAGACGATCTGTGACATCGAAATGCTTGTTAAAAATTTTCATTTAACGAAGCAAGTTTTCGCATTCGTTTTGTTGAAACTCACGCACGGAATTGGCTGGCACGAAATTAAACGGAAATCCATGGTCGGATTAGGATTTTTCGTTTAATTTTGCGCTCGATGGGCCTTGAATTTCGGGCTCGATGTCACAGGGTGTGATCGCTTCCACTTTTTCAAAGTTATCGTATCGTGTTGGTTTTAATCTTTGCACACACAAAAAAAAAACAATCACGCGTGGTATGCATCGTTCAGCATTAACATATCATATTCGACGAGACACACGTAATGTTATTTATTTTCTGATTGAGTATCTATATATTACATTTTATATATATATATATCCATTTCTATGGTACTCTTTCCACGACGGATCGTTGTGAACGACACTCGAACCACGATCCAGTAGGAGTCGTGCTCTTTTTGACCCGTTCCGAATGAATCATTCACACCTTTGTTGCTCTCGATGTTTGTGTTGTATCTGGTATATCGATTCACGTATTCAACTCGGCCCTCCGACCGAGTTATTATATTATATCACTGTATTATCACTTTGTAGAACAGTATCTTTTTTTTATCAAAACTATGCTATGTTTCGCTCGAGATATTCTCTATGATTTCTGTACTTGTCATCCTCACTATCATTATCATGATCGTTCAAAATATCATTAAGTAGTAAATCGTATACAGGATGAAATCGATACGAGCGACCTTTCGATGATTACACGTTCGATATGAAGCGATAATTACAAGTTGGTTCGAATCCTTTGATCGTTTACGAATATCTCGATGGGTCACTCGTCTCCTTTCGTCCTAGTTAGTTTTCACGCTCGTCTCGATAATTAAACCGCTCGACATCCTTCTATAGGATCTGGTAAGTAACTCAAGGATAACGAGATCGAATGAGAAAAGAAAGGCAAAGTTTCACGTGAAATTTCACCCTTTATGAAAGTGATAAATTTACGAGAGAACGCGGTCAGGGGTTGCGAACAGCACGGATCCGGTTTCACGCTCCTCTTCAACAATTTCCCTCTCGTTTACGGCCCTATCGCCGGTTACTCGCAACTTCATCGGGCAACTGCCTTGGAAAAACAACATCGGTCGACATTAGTAGTTGCTACGGGGTCATAAATGTTCATTTTCCGGGCCACGGGATACGCGTGGGCGGCTATTGCCGGATATTTACGACCCTGTCGCAGTTTTTCACGGAGCCTGATTTTTGCGGGGGAGCGTTGTACACCTGTTCCATGTTCCTGTCGAGAGGTCACGTAGGAAGATACGCATCGATAAGTTCGATAATACTTGTCGAACCGGTGGAAACTTCGGGCGAAGTAGTATAGGCACGCGTGTGGTCAGACAGCGAAGTAATGGACTTGCGCCTGGTCTACAGAGTGCGCTTGAACTGGTGGTTCGATCGAAATACTATGAATTTCAGGTGTGAATATAAATAAAAGATGTGGAGTATTATTTTTTTATACTGAACTTTATTTTAGAGAAAAATTACTTTGAGCATTTTGTTAAATACAATTCAATTCACCTCGTCTATTGTTTCTATAAAAGGTATTTTATGCTTTCTAAATGAACTACCAATTTGAATCGCTCTGTATATTCGTGAAATCTACGCAGATTCGATGGACGAACAATGTTTCGAATTTCATGCTTCGTGACCTATCGTTCTCCTGTTTCGTGATGAGACTTCGCTAGGCCGAGGAAGCAAAAAAGAGAGAGAGAAAAATAGAATCGAAACGTTCGAAATAATTCGATCGGACAAATACACGAGTAATTGTACGCGGGATCAAGTACGCCGTTGAAATTACAGAAAGGCTTGTTTTGTCCTTTTTGTAGTTCGTTTCGGGATTGTCGTTGCTGCCGAGAGGAACATTAATTACACTCGCTTCGTTCCCGGGAATGGATTAAACTCCAAGCAGTCTGTATCCCCGAGCTGTATTTTAATGTTAATTTCAGACGTTTCGGAAGAAGATTTATTAACTTCCCGTTGTTTTCGACGAGTAGCCCCGCTATTAATTCCGTTTCGCCAGAAAGTTTCAGCCGGGAAGTTTTTCGATTTCGATGTAATTATCCTGATGTGCTGTCCAATTTGATCGCGATACGACGAGCGTTTCTCTCTCTTTTTCAACTTAACGTTCGTCAACATAAAATATCCCTATCGCGATCTATCGAAGTCTCATGGGCGAACAGGGTTGGTACGCGGTCCCCTTGAATCGCGTTCGAAAAAATTTTCCCGTTCACCTTCTACATTCACCCAAACCTTGTTCCCTGCCCTGAAAAAGAGGAAACGAAGACGACAGCGTCGTCTCTGTTGGAGATACGCGTATAGGAGAGCCGTTAACGACGGCATGCAGGTACATACTATTATCACACGTCACGTTTATAGTTCCGCCGCGGATCTCGCCGTTTTATTTCGAGAACGGTGTGACGGAAGGGATGAGGACACAGCTAATGTGTACCACGAGCCAGGGTGACCAGCCGTTCAACATCACCTGGTTGATGGACGACAAACCGATACAGAAAAGATCGGGTGACGGTGGTGTGTCGGCGTCGGCGTCATCCTCGTCGTCGTCGTCCTCGTCGTCCTCGTCGTCGTCGTCCTCGTCCTCGAGCGGATCCACCGCGGCCGTGCTCGAGACAGGGAACAACATACAGATAAGCGACTATCCGCCGTTTTCCAGCATCCTGACGATAAATAACGTCAGCGCTAAGCACAGCGGGAACTACACGTGCCAGATCAGCAACGTCGCTGGCCTGGCCGAATACTCGACCAGCCTCTCCGTTGCTGGTTGGTGTCTCAAACGAGCAACAACAAAAAACGACATGGTAGCTGTAAGAACCTGTGTACATAAACCGTGTGTGACTGCGACACACACACCTGTCTGTCTCTCTCTCCCTCTCTTTCACTCTCTTTCTATGTGTGTACGGTGTGGATGGACAAGGATATCTTAGAAACGATGTACGCCGTGGATACTGTGAATTCTTTATGACTGAGGAGACTGAAAGGTTCTTTAGGATTTTATAAGCAGGAGCTTTGTTTTTCGTAAAGAAGGTGAGATATTTGAAAAAGTTCAATACAAGGATCTTTACTTCAATATTAGTTTACGTATAAAAAATGACACTTTTATTAGCGAAAGATTTACATGATTTAGAAACTGTCACCTAAGGTTTAAAGTCACTCCCGAAATCCAGTCACTTCTATCTCGAAAACGAAGCTCGAAATCGCAAACTGCTAAGAGATTTTTCAATTTACTTAGTCACGAAGGATCTGCAATCTTCGCGGTGTACATTTTACATCTAGAAACATCCTGTACATACACACTTATATATATACACGTGTATATATACATATCACGGCACAGAAACCGAGCAGTCGCTACGGAGG